TTCCCAGCCAGGGAGCTGCTGGCTGCACTGCTAACCTGCTCCAGGCAGGAATGTGTTAGTTGATCATTTTGGAAGGAATTTTAACTTTCCAAAGACATTTCCAGAGCAGGACTAGGGGAGGAAGTGTTTAATTTAGAAGCTGGGTCACAGAGGGGGTGAGAGGTGAGCAAGTGGAATGTGTCCAAGGGGGTGGGACTGGGTTATCCTTCAGGTCCTTTCAGCCCAAACCATTCTGGGATTCCCTGATGTGATCCTGTGATTGCCAAGCTCTGGGAATGAGGTGTGGAATGAGTGAGGGGTGTCACCACCAGCCCCTGGTTTCTCTGTTCCAGACTGGAGGCCCAGGAGGGTTCGACTTGGCTGGTCTGCTCAACAACCCCGGCTTCATGAGCATGGTGAGTCCAGGCCCAGGTCTCAGCTGGGCTGCTGGGGGTGAATTCCCTCAGGATTTAGCTCCGGTGCCTCCTCAGATGGGTTTGCACTCCCTGGTCCCGGCCTTGCTCTGGGGAAGCTGCTGGTGTTTCATTAAAGCTCAAATGAAAAGCCAGTTATTTACTCCCAGGCTTCTCCCTGGCTGTGGAAGGGCCTGTTCTGCATTAGGGCCTGTCCTGGTGTTGTGCTCTGCTTCTCTCTTGGCTATTTTGGTCCTTTTGCTCTGTTTCAAAGCCCTTCTGCCTTGGCTTTGGGGTTGAATGGCACAACACCTGCACAGCTCTCCAGCCTCTGACTAAACTGGGGTTTGTTCTTTCTCCTCTCTCTGAACAGGCATCGAATCTAATGAACAACCCACAAGTACAACAGCTGTAAGTTGGATCCTGCTTGTGTTTCCTCTTGGAATTGCTCATTTGAGGCTCTCTGTGTGTTTGGCGTTGGCTGCAGGTCTGGACTGGTGGGAGCAGGAGGGAACTTGGGGCAGGAGTGTGGGGGGAGCCTTCAAACCAACCCAGTGCCCTGAGCTGGTGTGTTTTGGGGGCTTTGCACTGTGTTGAGGAGGGATTTTAGTGAAATACTTGCAAATGGAGGATTGGTTGTGGCCCTGGAGTTGGGTTTGGGGAGCTGGGGATCTTTGGCTCTGAGGATCAGCTCACAGTGTTTGTGGGATGCTTAGATAATGCACAGAGTGATAAATTAACAAGGCACAGACTGTTCCTGCCCATCCTTGAAGTGAGACCCTGTGGAATTCTCCCCCTGGATGCAGCCTGAGGACTCCAGAGGAAGGGGCTGAGTGTCCTGGGCTGTTCAGGCTGCCCTGTCAGTGAGTCTTTGATGCAGAGCAAGAAGAGAGCTGGTGTGAGGAAGGGCAGTGTTTTAATTCCATAAACATAACACAGGCAGAGTTTCAATTCCGTAAACATAACACAGAACCTGGGAACACAGTAACTGGCACCATTAGGAGTATTTTTACTTCATTTTTACTTACTGTGCAGCTTAATGTTCCTCTTCTGCAGCTGATGAATGAAAAGTTGTTGCAGGAGATTCCCTTGCAGATGATAATCCCTAATCCATGGGGTGGGAAGGTGCTCCCGTTCCTTCGTGCTCCAGTGTAAACTGATTAATTTTGGTTGTTTGTTTTTTTTTTCCCTGCTCTGCTCTTCTCCCCACAGCATGTCTGGGATGATTTCAGGTGGCCACAACCCCATGGGAGCCACGGGCACCAGCCCCTCCACCAACGACCTCGCCAGCCTCATCCAGGCGTGAGTGGAGCTGGGAACAGGGATTTGGGGGTGCCCAGAACCTCAACTTAACAGCTGAGGGAGGTTTGACGTGTTGGGTGAGGTTGTGGTGGGAACTGCTGGCTGAGTGGATTTCTGGGGTCCTGAGCAGAACCAGAACCTTGATTTAACCCTCGGGGGAGGTTTAAATGTTGGGTTCTCCAACGTTTCCGGGTGTTCTGGTGCCGGGAGCTGTTGAGTGGGGTTGTGACAAGGGGCTGTGGAGCGTTTCCAGCCCCAGGCTGTGCTGGGGGGGTGAGAGCTCTGGTCCCAGCTGTCTCCCCCCTGTGTCCCCTGTCCCTCAGGGGTCAGCAGTTTGCCCAGCAGATGCAGCAGCAGAACCCTGAACTAATAGAGCAGCTCCGGAGCCAGATCAGGAGTCGAACTCCAAGTGCCAGCAACGAGGACCAGCAGGAATGAGCTCTCCAGGTGAGATTCCAGCCAGGAATGCTGGGCCAGCTGGGTGGGGGGTTAATTTAGTTGATTTCTAATAAGCTTTGTGCTTTAATTGAGCCATTTGGTGCCTCTCTGGGGCTCTGCAGGGCTGAGCCCAGAGGGGTCAGTGACACCTTCTCACACCCTGGGCACTCACAGACCAATTTGGGCTCCATGGTTAAAAAACCAAGTAGTCCAACTTTATTTCTTTTTAGTTTTTATAAAGGTGTTTTTACTAAATGAATGGGTTTTGTTTTGTTTTTTTATGAAAAAAGTGGGTTTTTTTGCTAAAGGATTTTTTTTTTAATAAGGGAGGTTTTTTTCTAAAGGTTTTTTTTTTTACTCAAGGAGATTTTTTTAATGAAGGAGTTTTTTTGCTAAAGGAGGGTTTTTTTTTACTAAAGAAGTGTTTTTTACTGAAGGAGGGTTTTTAAAACTGATTTTTTTTTTTTACTAATGAAGTTTTTTCTAAAGGGTTTTTTTTGCTAAAGGAGGTTTTTTTAATGAAAGGAGTGGGGGTTTTTCACTAAAGAAGTTTGTGTTTTTTTGCTGAAGGAGGTTTTTTTTTTACTAAAGGAGTTGTTTTTTTTTTACTGAACTTTATTAAAATGGCTAAACTTCCTTTCCTCCCAGGCTGAATTTCCCCCTCTCTTCTCTCCCTCTCTCCACAGCAACAGCCCAGGGGAACTTTGGTGTTTGCTTTAAAAACTGGAAGCCATGTGCGTGTTGCCATTTCTTGAGTTGGAAGTGTCCAAGAGGGGGGAAAAATATAATGGAAAAAAAAAAAAAACAACACCCAAACCCCTTTCTCTGACCTGCATGTTCAAGACAGACTCACTCTCTGTCCCCAGCCCTCGGCCCTGCTCCTCCCTCTCACCCTTCCCATTAGTCCTTTTCCTCCTGGAAGAGCCAGCAGGCTGAACACAGACCAGCATCGAGGCTTTCTAACAGAAACTGGGGGAACCACATGGATGCAGTTCCATGGGATTTGCTCCCTTGGGGATTTTTTTTAACCCGTTTTTTGAAGACCCGAAGCACCGTCACTCCAGGACTCCTTGGTTTTCCTGCCCACGGGCCACTTCCAAGAAGTGTTCAAGTCCCTCCTAACCCAATCCTGCCACTCATGAGACAACGTGTGACCTCTCTGGAGATCCTGGGATCTCGTGGCCTCCAGGATTTTGGTTCATTAGCAGGACTGCACTCCCCGCTCGGGGATGGGGCAGCTTTGCCAGCGTCGTTATCCCGGGAGTTTGGTGCTCCCCTCTCCCAGGTAAACGTGGGGAGGGGGCTGGGACTGGACAGGCAGAACATCCCCACCTGCTCCTCGTGCACTTTTTGGGGTTCATTCTCCCAGAAAGTCCTGACAAAGCTTTAGGAATTCTGGCTGTGTGGGAGCAATCTGGGTCGGGTTGGACAGCGAGGGAGGTTAAAGGTGTTGTTAGTGTTTAAAAGGAGTTTTTCTCGTTTTTTTGGTTTTTTGGGGTTTTTTTAAATCTTTTCTGCATGTAAGTAACAACCTGGCTGACCGTGCTCATGTAGGGAAAGAGGGGGCCAGGGTAGAGCAGAGGGAATAAAATGTTTGGATCAAGGAATCAAGTGGCTGCTGGTTCAACCGTGAGGGGCTGGGGAGGGAGAAGCTCCTGGAGCTGCCTCGGGCCCCACCTTGGGCAAGCCCAGAGCTCCCCAAAAGTCCCTCGTTGAGGCCAGAGACTTTTCTATCCACTCAGACTCGGTTTGAAAGCAGATTTTTGGGAGCGGTGGGGCCAGGATGGGGAAGGTGGGAGGTGGGCGAGGCCCTCGGGAGCCCTGGGGGAGTGAGCAGGGACAGTGGGAGATGAATATCATGGCAAAACTGACCTGTAAATGCTCCATGAAGTTACTGTGGTTCGTGTCACTTGTGAGGAATAAAACATTTGGACACTTTCGTTGTTATCCCTCGTGCCCTGGGTGGCTCAAGGGGCCCCTTTCCAGAGGCTTCTGTGGGGTCAGGGCTCTGCTCCCTCAGGGCTGGGGCTGCCCTGGGGCACATTTTATCCCTTCTGCCCAGTTTTTTTTTTTGTTCTTCCCTGCTGGAATTCTCCTCCCGTGTGTGTTTCTGCAGCACAGAAATAGGAAATCTTTCTCTCTGTGTCTCCTCCCCTCTCCTGCCTTTGAGCTCTCTCCTGCTGCTCTTTGCAGCCTGATAAAAGGGGTTTTACACTCTAGCACAGCATGGGAAGAAAACGTTCCAGAATTATCCAAAAAGAAGAAACCACAGGCGGTTTCCCCTCCTCCCGTTTTCAGCTCATTTCGGTGCTGTTCCTTCCCTTGCCCTCCTTGTTCTTTTGTAACTTTTTCTCTGCCTCTCTTGGTTTTCTTTTCACACCTCTGAGCTCCGTGTGCAGCTTTCCACGGGGAATTGCTCCTGCCCTGCAGGGCTGTGGCAGGTCCTTGATGCCTGCTTTTGAACTTTTCCTTCCAGAGTCCCACATTCCCCAGCTCCTCTGGGAGCCGACAGCGAAAATAGTGGAATTTTATGGGATTTTAAGGTTCACTTCAGCTCTCGCAGGGGGCTGCAGTTCGTGCGCTTTAACCACACGCAGTTGGAAAGCTGTAAGAGCAGGGGATGGCGGAATTGAGGGCGCTCTCCCAGGGGGGTTTTTCCCATTCCCGGCTCTCCCGGTTCCCGGCGATCCCGCTCAGCACCGGACAGCGCTGCGGGCCCGGCGCTGTCCCGGAACCCGCGGCCGCGGGGGCGCGTTTCCCGCGGACCTTAATCGCGGCGGCTCCCGGGAGGGTTGATGGGCGGCTCGCGCGGCCAATCAGCGGCCGGCTCTCCCGCGGCGGCCAATGGGAGGGCGCCGTGGGCGGGCGCGCGCGGGGCGGCCGGGCCGGGGAGCGGCGGGACCGGCCGTGAGTGAGGGGGGGGCCGGTTACCGGGGCAACGGGGGGTGAGAGGGGGGGCGCCGGGGGTTTCGTGAGGGGATGGAGGGGCCGGGAGGGGGCTCGGGGGGATCACAGCGGGGCTGGGGGAGCCGGGGGGGGGCGGGGGACAGGGCCCCTTACCCGTGTGGGGGTTCAAGGGGGATCCTGGGCCTGTGTGAGGGGCTGGGGCCAGGCCTCCTCCTCGCCTTGAGGGGGCTTGGGTGCACCCCAACCCCTTGTGAGGGGGTCGGGCCGGGCTCCCTCCTCGCCTTGAGGGGCTCAGGGTGGACCCCAACCCCTTGTGAGAGCTCTGGGCCCCCTCCCCGCCCTGAGGGCCTCAGGGTGGACCCCGACCCCCTGTGAGGGTCTCCCCGGCTGAACATGCCCCTTTAAAACCGCCCACCCCGCTCCCAGCAATCCCTGTAGCCCCCCTCTCCACCTCTGCCTCCCTTCGGGGTGCTCCAGCAGGTTTACCCTGTGCCAGTGGCCTGGGAGGAGCCCCCTGCCCACCCTCCTCTTTTCCAGCGTGATCTCGAGGGGTTTCAGGGCTTGGAAGTGCTGGGACAAGTGTGGCTGTGGGGAAGGCGTCCTGTTTTCAGCAGAAAACCTGGGGTTTAGGGGTTCACGGATCAGGAAACCATTTGTTTTCCCTCCCACAGGGCCCTGCCTGCTTTACAGAATATTTTTCATCGCTTGGATGCTTCATTCTGAGCCACTAATCCGAGCAGTACCTGAGCTAATCCTTCGTTCCAGGCTGGTGCCACAGCCTGGGTGTCAGTGCTGCTGCCACAGGAGCAGCTCAGGAGAGCCACCAGGTATTCCTGGGGATTCCTTTCCCTCTGGGCTGCTTCCAGCCCCGCTCAGGGACACCGGCTGCAGCTGCACTCAGGAGCTCGAGGGTCTGGCGGGAGTTGGTTTGGGTTAAAAACAGGAAAGAGAGGGAAAAACCCGAGGTTGGGGGGTTTCTGGGTGGAAGCCAGAGGTGTGGATTTCTTTCCTCGTGGTTCAAACCCGGGAGCTGATCCATTGGTTGGGCTCAGCTGGATCCCACAGCAGGACTGGGCGTTTCCTTGTCACAGGGGGGCTGCTCCAGATAAAACCTTTAAAAACTTGGCTGGTTAGGGGTGGCCCCAACAACTCATTTACGTGAATTGTTAATTTAGCAGCGCTTCCAGGTTACTTTTTAATGCGATTGCATTTTTCCCTGGTGGTTCCCATGGCTCGTAAAGGCAAAAACTCCCTGTTTTCTCCCCCTGCCACAGGTGCTGATCCCTGGGTGTGTGTCTGTGCTCATGTCCCCGCTCTGAGGACGGGGGGGGGTTTGGCTGCCAGGATGAGGATCGTGGTGGCCAAGGTGCTGTGCATGCTGGGCATCTGTGTGCTGGTGCTGGCGGGGGCCCTGCTGCCCGTCAGGGTCATCGAGGCCGACCATGAGAAGGCCCAGCGCTCCAGGAAGGTCCTGGCCCTCTGGAATTCCTTCGGAGGGGGGGTCTTCCTGGCCACCTGCTTCAACGCCCTGCTGCCAGCTGTGAGGGGCAAGGTGAGTGCTGGCCATGCCTGTGCCAGGGACATCTGAGCCTGCAGGGGCTCAGCTCTCCAGGCCCCGCTCCCTGCGGGAATGGGGGTGATGAGGGGTCTGTGTCCAGCTGGATGTGGAGCCCCCTCAGACATCTGTGCCTGGTGCCTCATATCGTGAGGGTGAGCTGTGCCCACCTCCCTGCCCTACTGCTGGCTGTCTCCATGGGGTCACGGGGCATTTGGGGGATTTTTTGGGGCAACACAACTCCGTGTGTTTGGAACATGAGAGGGCAAAAGGATTCCCTGTCTCGTGGCAGGGTGTCCAGGGGTGTGGGAGTGCCATGGATGGGTCCAGCGCCCGTGTGGGGCCGTGTGAGCACAGCGGGAACGTTTCCCTTCGGAGGGATGGATTCACTGTGCATCCTTTGCCTCCTCCCAGCTGGATGAAGTCCTCAAGCAGGGGAACGTGACCACGGACTACCCGGTGGCCGAGACCATCATGATGGTCGGCTTCTTCGTCACGGTCTTCGTGGAGCAGCTCGTCCTGAGCTGCCAGAAGGAGAAGCCCTCCTTCATCGACCTGGAGACCTTCAACGCGGGCTCGGACGGCGGCAGCGACTCGGAGTACGAGAGTCCCTTCATCGCCTCGCCCCGGGGCCGGGCCCTGTACGGGGAGCACGGGGGGCACCCGCCCCACCTGAGCCTGCCCGAGCTGTCCCGCTCCGGCCCCCTGCGCCTGCTGGGGCTGGTCTTCGCCCTGTGCACGCACTCCATCTTCGAGGGGCTGGCCCTGGGGCTGCAGGAGGACGGGGGCCAAGTCATCAGCCTGTTCCTGGGCGTGGCCATCCACGAGACCCTGGTGGCCGTGGCGCTGGGCATCAGCATGGCCAGGGCCGCGCTGCCGCTCAGGGACGCGGCCAAGCTGGCCCTGGCCGTGTGCCTCATGATCCCGCTGGGAATCGGCGTCGGGATGGGCATCCAGAGCACCCGGAGCGCCGCCAGCGACGTCGTGTCCCTGCTCCTGCAGGGCATGGCCGGCGGCACCTTCCTCTTCGTCACCTTCTTCGAGATCCTGGCCAGGGAGCTGGAGGACAAGAGCCAGCGGCTGCTCAAGGTGCTGTGCCTGGTGCTGGGCTATGCCCTGCTGGCCGGGCTGGTGCTCATCCCATGGTGAGCCGGGAGCCTCGGGAAGCCAAGCTCAGCGGGACGAGCCGCCCCTCCCGCTGCAGGGACGCCGGAGCTCCGCGGGCAGGTGGAACAGCCCGGCCCAGGGGGTGTTTCCATGATTACCTGCAGGAGGAGGATCTCTTCCCGCGTGCTCAGAGGGAGATGAGTGAGGAACATCCCAAGGGATTGTCCCTGCCCGTGGGGCTGCGGAGATCAGCTGGCACAAACATTAAGGATCTGGTTAAAGGCTGCTTCCGAGAGCTCCTCGAGTGTGTGTGGCTTCCTGCAACCTCCACAATCCCCCTCTCCCTCCTGCCCCTCGCCCGCACTCCGGAACGAGGCGGGAGCCTGGTCCATGGGCTCCGAGGAGGTGAGAAACAGGACTGGAGCCGGAGCAGGTGGGAGCAGGGATTGCTGGGCTGCACTAAGCTGCTTTGGCTGGCTTAGTCTGGAGCAAAACCTGGTTGTAAGAGCTGCCAAAAATAACGTCCCCGTGGGGCTCCGGCATTCCCGGGGTGCTGCTCCCTCCGGCACAGCTTCCAGTGCAACCACCCAGGGCTGGGGGAGCTCAGCTTTCCCAGGCATTGATGGGGGAAATGAGGCCGGGCCCCTCTCCCTTCCTTCCTTCTCTGCATCTCATCCATATGCTGAGCATTCCCTTAGGAAAACCTCCAGCAGTGTGTTAACGTAGTGTTTGGGAATCATAGGATGAATCCCAGGATGGTTTGGGTTGGAAGGGAACTTAAAGCTCATCCAGTCCCACCCCCTGCCAGGGGCAGGGACATCTTCCACCAGACCAGGTTGCTCCAAGTCTTGGACACTTCCAGGGATGGAGCAAATCCTTCCATTATCCCTGTCCATTCCCTGGCACTCCCAGGGCCCAGGAGCTTGCAAGAAAGGGGCAGTAACAATTTCCAGCATTAATATTTTAGGAAAAGCACTTGTGTTTTCAGAGCTCTGCAGTGAGAGGGGTTGAGCAGTCGGAGCAGAGGCTGCTCCCAGGCTTTTCCAGGTTTCCAGAGGAATGGAATCTCTTCCATGGAGGGGGTGTGAGGTGGTGGAAGGGCTGCTGAGAGACACAAGCAGATCTCAGTGGCTGCAGAGCAGGGCCCCAGGGAAGCTCCATGCGCTGCCGATCCCTTTGGATGTGCTCTCCTGGGCGAGGAGCCGGGATCAGAGGCTGGAGCTGGGAACGAGCTTCCCCCCCAGCTGTGTGACACAGCCGGACTCAGGCAGGGGCTGCATTTTAATTACCCGGAGCCGCCGCTCCTGCAGCAGCTTCCGCCGGGGCTCCTGGAAGCGCTGATGGAATGACAAGGATGGCGCAGTGCCGGCAGCGGGAAGGAGGCTCGGAGCCGCCGCGGTGGCCCAGCTGCAGCATATGGAGGCAGCTGAGCATCATCTGACAGATCCTGGGGCTCGTTAGTGTAATTGCTGCAACATCCCCGAGTCAATTAATCTTCCTTTGAAAACCTGGAGTGGAGGGGGAGGCGGAGGGAGGTTATTTTGGGCCTGGGATGACACAAAAGAGCAGGATGAGGGGAGCGTGATTTGCCTCGGCGTGGCAAAGCCTCGGGGCTGTCTCAGCTCTCCTGGGGGGTGACATCGCTCCCCGGGGGGGTTCTCTGTGCTGGGGGGGTGAGGGGGGAGAGGTGACACCGTGCTGAGTGTCCCTTTTTGGGCCGTATCCTGCCTTTCACACCTTCCTTCTGCTCGACTTCAGGATCGGAGCTGCACTGGGGGGGCTGTGAAGTGCCGGGAGGTGCTGAGCTCCCCCCTCCTCATCCTGCTGCCCCGGGGGGGGTTTATCCACGGTACCATCCCGTGCTCCGGGGTGGGTGTCAGAGCCGAGGAGGCTCCCAATAAACTCCCTGCCCTTCTCCCCTCGCTGTCACTCGGTTGTTTGATGTCCCCCGTGGCCGCTCCACGTCCGACTCACGCGGCGGCTGCACGTGCCCCCCCCCCCCCCCCGGCAGCCAAAACCCCCCTGTCCGGACCCCCCCCATCATCCCCGAGCCCTGCTGAGCTCAGAGAGGGGACAGGACCCCTCTGGCACCCCCTGCCCGGCACGGCCGTGATTCAGCCCTGCGTGAGCAGCCGCCCCGCAGCGCCGGGCCCGGCGGGGAGCTGGGGCTCAATGGAACGAGGAGGAGCCGCAGGAAAACCATCAAGGAAACTCATTCATTCCCTCTAACGAGGAGGATCCGCCGGGCCCCGGGGGCTGCGGGGGGACTCGGGGAGGGGGGGCTGCGGCTGCCACCCACCCCCCCCCAGGGCCCTGTCACCTCTCGGGCAGGGCCGGGGTCCCCGTGGGCCCCCCCTGCTCCCGCTGGGATGTGGTGGCAGCGCGTGGGTGCTGCCGTGGCCCGGTGCCTGCTGCCCGCTATTAATAGCAGCTGCGGATTTTAATTGCTGCTGCTCAGGAAGGGGGGGAAAGCAGGAGCAGGAGCCCCCCTGGCAGGCCCTGGCTGTGACAGGCACCTTGAGACCCCCAGGGCCACCACTCACCTCCAGCCCACTCCCTGCCAGTGGTGGGGCAGAGAGCTGGGGACGGTCACCCTCGGGCCATTCTGGTCCCTCTCAGGCACTGGGGGGGGTGCTCAGCCAGCACTTGGGGGTCCCACAGTGACCCCAAGGGCCCCTCCAGGGTTTTGGGGCTCTGCCATGGGGAGATGACACCGGTTGGTGACAAAGGCCCCTGGTCCTGCAGTGGGGTGGCACCGTGGCCTCTGTGTCCCCAAGGCCCAACCCCGCTGCCCAAAACACCCCCAAAATGCCACAGGGGCTCACGGCACCTCTGCCAGGTTGGGGTGTTGGCATCCGTCTGTCCTGTCCCTGTGTCCCCTGTCACCACCTGTCCACGAGTGCCTGGGCTGTTCCTCGTCATGTGGGTCCATGTGACCTGTGTCCGTGTGTGGTTCCTGTCTGTGTGTCCCCATCCCCAGGTATCCTTGTCCGTGTGTCTGTGCATCCGTCTGTCCCCATCCCCACATGTCCCCATCTCTCCACGTGTCCCTGTCTGTGTGTCCCCATCCCGCGTGTCCCTGTTTGTGGGACCCCATCCCTGTGTATCCCTGTCTGTCTGTCCGTCCCCATCCCTTGCCATGTGTCACCATATGTGTGTACCTGTTTGTGGGACCCCATCCCTGTCCATGTGTCCCTGTCCCCATCCCTATCCGTGTGTCCCTATCCATATCTCTGTGTCCCTGTCCGTGTGTCCCTGTCTGTGTGTCTCCCTCGTGTGTCCCCATCCCTGTCCGCCTGTCCATGCCTGTGCGTTTCCATCCCGTGCATCCCCGTGTGTTTGTCCCTGTCCGTCTGTCCCCATCCCTGTCGGTCTGTCCCCGTCCCTGTCCGTGTGTCCCTGTCCGTGCATCCCCGTCCCTCTGTCCCCATCCCCGTCCGTGTGTCCCCGTCCCGCCGCCGTGTCCCGAAGCCGTTCGGGGCCGGGCCCGGGGGTCCGGGGCCCCGGGCGGGGCGGGCGCGGCGGGCGGGGCCGGCGGCGGGGCGGGATCGGCTCTGCGGCGGCCGCACCGCACCGAGCCGAGCCGAGCTAAGCCGAGCCCCGCCGAGCCGAGCCGGCCCCGC